TGGGCGCCGCAGGCTCGGCCCGGGCAAGGGTTCCTGCAAGAAGAGGTAAGGGCCGCGGCGGCGCCCTGCTCTCCGTGGCGCAGCATGGGCGGAGGCCGAGGGCTCAGGGCCGCTCCCCACGTGGCCTCTGCAGAACCCTGCCCTGCGAGGAGAGCGCCGGGGCAGCGCCAGGCGAGGGCCCCGAGGGCGCGGAGGCGCGCGTGCGGGAGCTGAAGGACAGGCTGGAGCTGGAGCTGCTACAGCAGGGCGAGGAGCAGTACGAGTGCATCCTGAAACGCAAGGAGCAGCACGCGGCTGAGGTGCCAGGGCCGGAGGGAGCGCAACCCAACCGACCCCACTCCCTCCGCACGCCACAGGGCTTGTTGCTAAGCCGTCCTTCCTCGCCCCGCAGCAAATCGCCATGATGATGGAGCTGGCCAGGGAGAAGCAGGCAGCAGAGCTGAAGGCCCTCAAGGAGACCGCAGAGATGTAGGACCGCCTCCCTCCCACGCCTGATTCTCCCCTCCCAGTAAGGACTCCAGACAGAACATCTCCCTCGTGCTTGTCTCTGCAGTGACACCAAAGAGATGAAGAAAAAGCTGGAAGCCAAGAGGTTGGAGCGGATCCAGGCCATGACCAAAGCCACCACAGACAAGATGGCCCACGAGAGGTGAGGCCTGGAGAGGAATCCCAGTGCTAAGCAGATCCCACTCCAGGTGGAAAGGGATTTCCCTCAAGTGGATCCTGACTCGCTTCTCAGAGATGTTCTTCTCCTCTGACTCAAAAAAGTTGATCCCACCTCTGTCATTTCTGATCAGAGAGTGTCCTCCTTAGGCAAAACATAGATGCCAACACTACTTGAGCAAAGAAGAACACTGGAGGGAAAATCAAGCCCACAGAGGGAGGGAAAGTCTTGGGACAGCAGCCTGTCCACTCTGGCAGCTCTGCCTCCCACCTGTACTTCCCATGGATGCCTGGAAAGACAGTGTTTCAGTGAGGAAGCTGTTGCCTCAGAGGGCCCCAGGGCTCCCCAGTAGATCCCCAGGCTTGCCCCTCTGGCTGGTTGCCATCCCTAGGATGGAGTTCTCATTTGCCTCCAACCTGCGAGGAGACTTCATTTCATCCACTCTCCCCAGGGCCTCCAACCTTTCTAAAACTCCGATTACACCCACAGGTTGAAGAGAGAGATCAACAACTCCCACATCCAGGAAGTGGTTCAAATCATCAAGCAGGTGTGTAAGGGCCATGTCCTTCCCAAACACACACACTCTCTGCAGAAGTGGGAAGGAGCAGCCCCAGGCCCTTACTCTACCCTCAGCATATACATTGTCCAGAGCTGTCCATGGCATCCCGGATTCTGGCCTGTATGTGGTGGTTGGGGTACCAGCTTGCATGAGTCTTCCTCTGTCCTGCTTCCCTGAATGGAAATTATTTGGGCTGGCTGGCCAAGGGAGGATGGGATTGGAGTGGGTAGGTAACAAGGGAATGAGAAGGGCTTCCCGAGGTCAGAGTCAGAAGAGGAAGGAAAGCCCTGACAACGGATCTTACGCCCCTCTCCCCCCATCCGGATTGCTAGCCACAGTAACAGAGCTACCATCTACTCAGTCTTAGCCTTGTGCCAGGCGCTATGCCAGGTGCTTCACATGAACTGTTTAATATAATCCTTTACGGGCTGGCCTATTGCTCACTTGGTTAGAGTGCGATGTTATAACACCAGGGTCAAGGGTTTGGATTCCTGCACAGGCCAGCTGCCAAAAACGAAACCAAACAAAGAGTTCACAAACAAATAGAATTAAATGATAGCATGAATCTTTCCATTAAAAAAAAATATCCAGTGAGACAGGTACTATTATCCTCATTTTACAAATTTAAAAAACTGTCCAAAGGTTAAGGAATTTGTCCAAAGTCTTACAGCTGGTTAGCTGGGATTACAGCTGGATTCCAACCCCGCTGCCTGTCTGTGCTGTCCTAACTCCCTGCCTCTCACTCCTACCCAGATGACGAAGAACCTGGAGAGGCACCAGGAGAAGTTGGAGGAAAAGCAGGCGGCCTGCCTGGAACAGATCCGGGAGATGGAAAAGCAGGTAACAAGATCACTACCCTGGCCCCCAGCAGAGTCAGACGGGCTCCAGGGTGTGAAGGTGCCCTGCTCCAGGGAGCTGCCAGTCAGGAGGTTGGGAGAAGGGGGTTGTCATCCATCACCAGTGGGTCACAGGCTCGGGTTCCCACAGGGTCCAAGGCCCTTTCAATGAGGCAGCTCTGGAGATCTCTGCTTGGTTGGCACCCCTTTCCTGAAGGCTCCTTGATGGGCTCCACTACCCTCCTACCTCCCACCCGAGTACCCTGGGAGCTCTGAACAGACTGAGCATCTCCTTGTCCACTGTCCAGGGGAGGGAGAGTGGTCAGGGGGTCCCTCCTGAGCCAGGTGGTGATCCTTGCATCACCAGTGGGTCACAGGCTCGGGTTCCCACAGGGTCCAAGGCCCTTTCAATGAGGCAGCTCTGCAGATCTCTGCTTGGTTGGCACCCCTTTCCTGAAGGCTCCTTGATGGGCTCCACTACCCTCCTACCTCCTACCCGAGTACCCTGGGAGCTCTGAACAGACTGAGCATCTCCTTGTCCCACTGTCCAGGGGAGGGAGAGTGGTCAGGGGGTCCCTCCTGAGCCAGGTGGTGATCCTTGCCGTCCTCACAGTTCCAACAGGAGGCGCTGGCAGAGTATGAGGCCAGGATGAAAGGCCTGGAGGCCGAGGTGAAGGTGTCAGTGAGGGCCTGCTTCCCCTCCGAGGCCAAGGACAAGCCTGAGAGAGCCTGCAAGGCCCCTGGGGAGCTGTGTGAGCCGGACCCACTCGTACCAAACGCAGATGCCCAGGAGAGCCGCCTCTGATGTCCCCACCCCACTGGGACATTAGCAAGGATGTTCAGACCCTTCTCTGGGATGTGGCTCCATCCCTCCAGCGAAGAAAGGGCCCCAGAACTCTAAGACTGTGGGAAGCTGGGGCTCCCTTGGATGCTGCAGCCCTCAATAGCTGGGCTAGAGGAGGAGGCAGAAACAGGAAACCATCAGGACAGGAGCCCATCTGGGGTCTACAAGTCCTCTCCAAGCTGATTTCCTGCTCCCCATTCTCCCCCACACTCCCAGGATAAGTGTCATATAATTGTTGAGGGCAAAGAATAGGACTGGGAGGCAGGACATGGGGTCCTGGCTCCACTCTGCCTTTCGTAGTGTGCAAGTAGTGGTACCTCACTCTGAGTTGTTTCCTTACCTGGAGGGCTGGACTTTTCCCCTGGAACCTCCACTCTAGTACCTGTCATTCAAGCAGAACCAAACCCCCAAACCTTCCTGCCCTGATGTGAGCAGCCTACCCAGGCTTCCAGGCCCCATCTCAGGCCTGCTCTGAGTTGGCCTCGTTGTCAGCTCCTGGAGGCAGAGACTGGCACTACCACAAAGCTCCTTGGGGATGGCTGCTCCCAGGATCCCTGCTGAGGTTCTTTCCTTGGCCTCCTGCCAGTGGCGGGTGAGAGGTTGACATGGAAAAGGTGCCTCAGCTGACTGGCCCTCAGGCACTGAGACACATGGGGCTGTGGCTGGTAAGGGGGAGACGGATGACCTCTCGGGCACCATCCCACCCTGAAGCTGGCTCATCCCTTTTCCTAAGCCTGGGGGTGGGTACTTACTAGCATGCACCTCAATCAGGCTGCCCAATAAGGTCAGCACCATTTATGAGGTTTATTTATTTTTCTTGTTCCTACTCCTACTAAAGAACCCTGTCCCAATATTTCCTGCCTAAGCCTGGCCTCTCTTCTACCACTAGAAAATGGGGGGCATGGGAGTGGAGCGGCCTTGAAATGAAGCGGGCTGGGAAAAAGAAAAAAAAAAATCCCTTGGAAGCTGAACCCAGGGTGAGGTCCCTTCCAGAGCCCTGTGAAATGGGCCTGCCTCTGGGCTTGAGGAGGATTCACTTCCCCTTTTGCTGGCTCTGAAAAATAATGTCATCCCCTTTCCCACCCCGACATGGATGTGGCCCTTCCTCATCTCCACCTCAGGGTGGAGCAGAAGAGCCTAGGTGCCCCTGACCCATTTGGGGAACCCCAAGCCTTTAGGCCAACTGGGCCCCTTTAGGAAGAGTCAGAGTGGTCAGATGCTCAGGCCCCTGTGGAAGCTATGGTTGACTCCAAAGCTTGCTGTAAAGGGGCTTGTGAGCAGCCATTCACTGCACCTATGGCACAGTCTCAAATCCCAAATGGGGATAGGAACTGGCTTGGGAGAGGCAAGATGGGGGTTGATTCTGGGAAGAGGTTGTTTTCTTATCAGAGAGTTATAGCAGATGCCATTAGCTATGAGCACCTGTGCCTTCGGAAAATAAACAAGAGCTCCCTCCCTCCACCCTCACCCCCCACCTCTATGGGGGCCTGACCTCTGGGATCTCACCAGTCCCTGGCTGCAGGGTGAGGCTAGGGGGCCTGCTCACTCACAGGATTAAGGACATTGATCAGCCTGCCCCCCACTCCACAAACACACTAGACACGGTTGGGACACCTACACCCCAAGGCAGTGCCCTGTCATCCCGACACTTCAGCTGGACACTCAGCTGCTCCATCTCCCCACCCCCCGACTCCCCAGGGTAGAACTCTGTAAGGATGGGGATCCAGGACTAGAGGAACTCACTGACCCAGGCACTTGGGGGCATAAGCCAGAGCCAGAGCCAAACAGAGCTCGCCGGGCAGCCCTCAGCTGTTGCCGCTGACTGCCCAGGGGACGGAGACGCTGCCTTCCCCTCGCCTCTTGGCCAGGCTGGGCAGTCTCTGTGCCCCAAATCTGGAGCTAGGCAGCCCAGGAATGGGAAATGGTATGCAGTCCTGCCTCCTGGAGAGGTCTCTGCACAGCAGGCTGGGGGCTTCTCATGAGGCCAGACCTGGATACGCACCTCCATACTTTCTTTCCTCTAAAAAAAGGGCAAGGTGCTCCCTGGGCAAATGCCATCTCTGGGCTCTGGAGATGAATTAATCTCTGGCTGCAGAGGACATGCAGAGGAAGAGTTGATTCCCTCCCTCAGGGCACTGGGGCAGGTGAAGGGCACCTGGGTTCCATCCCTTCTGCGTATGTACGGGGCTGAGGCAAGGTTCCCTTTCCACTGGTTATGCCTCAGTTTTACCTTCTGCACAAAGAGATGGGTCCCTACCCCTTTCCCAATCCCATTGCTGACTCAGATGATAGAGTCCCCTGCTGACTCACCCCACCCCCTGCACCCCCCCTCCCCAGCAGCTCTCTGGATCTCCCAGACACGTGCCACCAGGCCCAACCCTGCCGATCTGGTGCAACGTGACAGGGTGAGGGGGCTGGTGACACTTGAAGAGGAAAGAAAGGGGCCCAAGGGGGGCGGGCAGTTGCAGACAGAGTGACAGACTGAAGACTGAGGTGCCTCTGGAAGGAAGCCCTTTTGCCAGGCTGGGGCCTGCCAGGGGAGAGGCTCAGCAGGTGCGAGGGGAGGGGAGTGTGGAGGGCCTGCTGCCCCTGCCTGCCTCAGCTCAGCCTCCTGTCAGCCTGCAGCTCTTTAAGCGACAGCTTCTAATTCTGGCTGTTGGTGCCTCTGTGCTCTGCAGCAGAGTCTCGGCTTTTTTTCAGCTTTGCTATTTCTTTTCTGTTCAGAACATACTGAGCCCATAGGGAAGTCAGAGCAAAGGCTCCAGGGCATGAGAACTGGCACCAACCCCCATCCCACCATAGGCCTGGTGGGGTTGGCCATGCCAGCTGGGGTAAATGGAACCAGCTCCTCCTTCCAAAGGGTAGCCAGCAGGCCCCTCTTCCCTGAAACTATCTCCATCCACCCCAGGAGACAGGGATATGAATGAAGCTAAGTAGGCTCAGGGAGGCTCAGGGATGAGGGGGCAAAGCTCTTCAGGACCAAGGAGGTATCCATTCTGTGTTCCTGATGCTTTTCTCCTCCACCTGGGGGCCCCGCAGCCTGGCTTGTAAGGGTGCCTGCCACACACAGATTCCAGGGGTACCCTCTCCCCTGAAACAGAGAAGAGAAGAATGAAATTTCCCTCATGTTGCAGAGGTAAATGTTGCAGAAAAGGTAAATTGAGTCAAAGGGGAGAAAAGTATTTTTTCTGCTAAGAGGGAGAGTATTTCTGCCCCCTTATTGGTGATGGAGAATCTCTATCCACTCCTGGTAATACCCCAGGAGGGGTCCTCAGGTCTGGGAGTGGGACTAGGCTTTGGGGGCTGCACTGTAAATAATTGTTCATCTCTTTCCCTGACACTCACTTGATCTTGCCTGACACAGGCAGGGCTGGTACTCATTTTGCAGATGAGAATATGCAGGCCTGGAACCACACTGCCAGTAAATGCCTTCAAGCTGGGACTTAACTCTAGTGTCAAATACTCTGCCCTTTCTATGACACTATGAAAGAAAATTGTCAGAGCCCTGACCAAGAGCTTAAACATACAAAAAGAGAAAAGGGGGGCTTCACAGCAGGAACGGTTATACATCACATGCTCCCCACGTGATAGAAGGGAGTGGGGGTCCCTGTTCCATGGCCTGTTCCAAGTCCAAGGTGGGCATGTCCAGAGACTGGGAGGTGGAGAGAGGTGAGAGGCTCAGGTGCAGGGCCATGAGCTCCCCCATCTGAGCCCACTATCTTCTTCCCAGCAGCAAATGCTCTCCTCACCCCATACCTTTCCCTGGGTGTCTCCTTCCACAAAGCATCTTATCACTGTTCTGCTCAGGCCAAGGACACCAGTCTTCCCTTAATTTCCTTTCTTTTATAGGAAGGGACCCTTATAAGCAGCTCTCGACACTGTCCCCTAAAGGTGTTTTTCCTGCCTCCATGACTTTGCCCCTATAACCCCATCTGGAGTGTTTTCCTTATTTCTTAGCAGCCAGATCCTGCACATCCTTGAAGAACCAACTCAGAAGTCTAACTTCAGAAGACCCCTCCCCACAACTCCATCTTTTCCTCCAAAGACTGTCTTGAATTTGTATTTAGCAGGTGTATTCAATCTGAGGTGATAACCTCCACTTTTTATGGCCTGCTCTTGGCTTCTCCCTTAAGAGAAGTCTCCTCCCTCCAGAATGAATTTCTGCTCTGTATTGCCCAATGCCAGGAACACAACGCCTGGCTCAAGAAGAGGCTCAGTAAATTCGGTAGTTGGTACCTGGTTCACTTTTCACTTTACACATACCCATTCCGACCCTACTCACCCGTCCCCCACCTCCTGCGGCTCAGGTGCCCTAATTCCCCTCAACTGAGGCCTGCGTATGCCCCTCTCTACCCCCACTCCCGACCAGCTGGAGGGAGAGGAGACGCGGTGTTTTTTCCACGCATCTCATGAAAAATGGAACTCCGCGCTCTCCTCCTCTCCTTAGGGGTCAGCTAGTTGTCAGGGCCAGACGCCTGTAGACTGGCGGTGGTTTTGTGCATAAGAGACAGACAGGGACTATGGAGGAGCCTTGCGTGTGCCCATCGCTTTTTCCGGGGTGACGGCCAGTCCTGGCGTAGCGGGGAGGCGGCGCTGGGGAGCTGCTGACGCGGCCGCCCCGGGTCGCGGCGTCTACGCCCCACCTGCTCCGCAGCCGCCAGGGGCTGGCACGCGTATGTGCCGCCGGGGTGGAGACGTCTGAGATTGGAGAGCGCACTCTCACCCCAGCCCCCGCTCCGAGCGAGCGTGTGCGGGAGGAACAATTGTGTGAGTGCGTGATTCGCTGCACTTCGAGTGGCAGTTTCCAGCCAGACTGAGCGCCCCCCTCCCGAGTCGGCAGCACACCTGCCCCTTCCCCCAAATTATGGGTGGAATTCTTGTCCACCCTTCGCCGCCATCCCTAGTTCACGCGTGGTCCAGCTCGGCCCTCCTAGGGTCCCAATTCCTTTCACCCCGGACCGCTGAGGACAGCTCTCTGTCTAACCCCGACGATCCCAAACGAAGTCCCGCCAATTTCTAAGGAGCGGAGGACACCAACTCCCGTGGGGGCAGAAGGCGGGGAGAGAAGACTTCGACTTCGGGATTGGCGCGGTCGGATGCCTGTGGCCCCAGCGAGCAGCCCCCGCCTCCGCCCCGCAACCGCCGCCGCATTCCCAGGGGAGCGCGGGGGAGGAGCCGCTCCCAGACTTCGTGGTCCACGAAGGGGTGGGGGTCGGGGCGGTCTCCCCCGCCTGGTCGGTCTCTGCCTTGACAGCGCAGCCAGCTTCCAGGGCAGCCATTACCATGGAGACCCCCGAGGCTATAAAGCCAGGTATCTAGGCGGGTGGCGGCTCCCGCGCCGCTGAGCCCCCCCAAGTAAGAAGCGAGAACCCCGGCTTGGCCCGGCCCCCGCGAAAGGGGAGGAGGCGGAGGAACGGCGCCAGCAGCTCGAGGAGCGGCGCGCCCCGCCAGGGCTGGAGGCAGGCGCGCACGGCGGGCGCCACCGTCTCAGCAGGGGAGCGGGGGCTGCCCCGGGTGCGGTGAGTGGCTCGGCTCTAAGCCACAGGGAACTGAGGGGCGCCGGACGCAGAGAAAGCAGCGGGAGACTGGAGCGGGCCGAAACTTCGGCTCCCTTCGTCTCGTGGCGGGCCAGGAGCAGAGCCGGGAGTAGCGAGCAGCCAACACCTTAGGGAGGCCCAGAGAAGAAGCAGCGAGACGCCAGGCGTGCGGCCCAGGAGCTGTGGGAAAGCCGGAGCCGCGGGGGATAACCGAGTGGGAAGCTTAGGACCCTCGGTCGCAGCCGCCCACACGCGAAACGAGCGATACAGGAGCTCAGGCCGGGGCAGGAGCCCGGCGGGGCGCGGGGACAGGGGCGCCCCCGTGCGGAGCTACCGGGCCGCCTGGGCGCGGCGGCTGGGGCCATGCTCAAGCCCAAGGACCTATGCCCCCGAGCGGGCACGCGCACTTTCCTGGAGGCTATGCAGGCGGGCAAAGTGCACTTGGCCCGCTTTGTGCTGGACGCGCTGGACCGCAGCATCATCGACTGTCGCGCGGAGCAGGGTCGCACGCCGCTCATGGTGGCCGTGGGGCTGCCGGACCCC